CCTGACAAAGGTGACTCCTAAGAAAATAGAAACTTTAATGATGTATTTATTATGAAAGTGAATTATAGAAGCCAAATAGATTTGAGAAAAAATGAACAATTCTAGTTCTAGCGAAAGAAAAATATTTAATTTAAATATTTTCATCATTTTTCATTTTAACAAATCAGCAAGGCATTTGTAGTATCACAAGTTTACTTTAATTTTATATGTTCCATACATTTTACATAGTACATTTTCATTAAAATGCCGATACTGGTTAATGGTTATTCATTCAGTGGACAATACATACCTGTAAAGAATAATACAAAAAAATCTTCCCCGGGCGGGCTCGAACCGCCAACCTCCCGCATTATTCGTATCATTCGGGCGCGCTACCGATTACGCTACAGGGGATGGTCAACCCTCGCGTCACAATTTTCCGTGATCAATACAATAATACGGAAGTATTACTCTCTGGTTATTAGTTATTATAATAATATATATAACTACGACTACGCTTCAACATGAACGGAAGACTTACCACTCTTTCATTTTTGTAATAGTATCATTTTTCAAAGGGAAAAAGATACAATTCTTCCACAAGACGAAGGCAATTTGCATTTTCTCAACGATCACTAAAATTGTAATTGACGTACTCGAAATTTCGAACTAGTTTCTCGTCATTCTCCAGATCTCCGAATTTTGCGTGATCTGCCAAATGAATGAGGCTGCTAGCGGAAAAAGCACTGAACTAGTGCTAGCTTACCCAGCAAAATGTATTCCAACTTTAACCTCCATTTCCAAACTACAAATATGTTCGTTTATCCACCAATTCTTGACTCAGATTTGAAGCGATTCATATTCATAAATCGATGGATAAACAATCCTACCTCACGAAAATGCCACAAATCCGCTTCTTTTTCATTCACTTACCGTAAAGTGGGGTGAGAATGTACATGTGGGGTGAGAATGTACAGCATCATTTTTCAGGCCTACTTTTAGGCTAATATTACATCATACTATGATGTAATATGACTTGTATCATGTAATAGCCTAAAAGTAGGCCTGAAAAATGATGCTGTACATTCTCACCCCACTTTACGGTACGTTTGATTATCAACGAATTTCGCTGAAATTTTTCTAATTGGATGCGAAAATTTTTGACTCATAACTGGCACAAATAATTTTGATCCACAAGTGATATTTGATAAATATTTTTCTGGAGGGCTAATTTATTTCTCGCTCACTTATTCAGAATAAAATCAATCCAAATTATTTGTGAAACGAAATATTATTTTATAGGATTTCGGCATTGTGAGGTTTTTTGTCTCACAATTTATAAATAGATATACTGGAAAAATGGTTACTCCTCATTTATTTCAAAATAAATTCTCTGAGTCAGGAAATATCTAGGTAAATCTTTACAATTAAAACTATTTTCTTTTTAATGATTTCAATTTGTGAACAATGCTAAAATTACAAAACAACTAATTGAATATTTTACCATCAGTCTGATTTGAAATTGAAAAATTGATGGACTATCATCAGCCCAGATTTAAGATGAAAATAAAAATCACATAATTAGGAACAAATAGTGCATTTTAAAACAAAAAAATGAGTGCTACATTTTTCACTCAAAATAAATTAAAGTAGATAGTAGGATGAAATTGAAATAAAATGAAGTAAAAGAAAAACCCAAAAATTCTTTTCCTTCGGGTGGTATCCATTTAGGCTTCTCTCATTCATACCCAATACCCACTGAATTTTTGACGATGAATTAAGTAGGCGTGATATAATTTTGATCTTTGAATTTTTTCCAAGTCATTGAATTAAAATTCTTCCTTCATTCAAAACCTTATTTTTGCCATGACGAGTGCAGTGTGACAAAATGGGTTCATTTTACCCCTGACGAATACAACCAAACTTCGAAGTTCCTAGAATCCCTTCGATGGAAGAAGAAAGAAAAAGTTCCAAAATGAAAGCTGCTGAGAATAAAATAGAATCGGAAGTAATACAGTTTACAATGTGAGAACAATTTGTTTTTTGGCAAATACCATTGAAAAAATTCAAATTTTAGAATCAAAACATCATTTTGTAGCGCAAGAATGATTAAAATGTTTATTTTGATATTTCTGTTCAGTGTATTTGAAAATATTTTGGTCGCCTTCTATAATTTTTAAAGAAGCATCGGTGTGCGACTTCATTCAACAAGCCTAAATACAGAAATCCCCTTTTGAAAGTATGTAAAAACGTAGATTTTTACTTGTTTGTCTTGTTCGGTTCCTATTAATAAATAACTTACACGAAGTTTTGGTGCCTTGGTGACAAATGAGCAAGATACTCTGCCAGAAAGAGGTGTAAGATTTTCGATGCCATTGTCGACTAAAAAGCCTCAGTAAACTTCTAAAGCTCAAAACCTTCCAATTCGAAGAAATGGATGATGATTTCTTGAATGTAAGCTTGGAGTTCCACCTGTTTCAACATTCGAATAAATATAAGAATATTCTGATAAAATTCACCTAGTTTTAAAAGCAGAAAAACTAAGTTGTTCTTTGCATTTCTTTATTTCATTCTCCACAGAAAAAAAAGACAGAATACATTTGTTTTTAAAATCACAGAGCAGTTTCTGCTTTCAAGTTGCATCCACGCATGTTTTAAAATAGTGCATCAATTTTGACCGATCTATTCAATTTTTCGAAACTCGTTCAAGTAACAATTTTATTGATTTCTTAAATTGATATCAACTAGAAAAAAAAAGGTTTTAATAAAAAAATAAATACACGAAGAGACGTTTAAAATAACACATAAAACTAAATTTAACATGTTTTTTCCAAACTGATCGACGCATTATAATACAAAAAATTGTCCTATTTCCTCTGTTAACCTTTTTCCCCCCACAGGTGAAGAGAACAAAAAAAAAAAAGAAGCCTATGTACAGATAATTTAATAAATTTTTCTCCATTTCTTTTTCTCTGTTAGGTATATTAAATTAATTTAATTACGTTTCTTCGATATTGAAGAAATGAAAATAAAATAAGAGATTGTGTCAGGGTACATTGATTTTGATTACAGAGTCTTTATCAACCGTACAACAGAAAATAGAAAAGTGGAAAAAGAAAAAAAAACGGACCAGTACTTTTCGTTCGAACAAACAAAAGAAAAATGAAGAAGAACTTAATTACAAACACTCATCTCTTGAAAACATTCGTGAAAATTTTCAGTACGTCTACCACCTAATCCGTCGAACTTGTACTTATTCTCATTTGACACTTTCATACTTTCACTGTCCTCCTCTTCGGCTGGTTTGAATATGGTGGCGTACTTGAACTTTTTGTGACATCGTTCTTTGTATTCTTCGGTTAGTTTATCCACGCTTCCGAAGCCGTTATCTCGTAATGCGTTGTAAATTTTCGTGCAAATCTGAGATGCAAACACAAGAAACATTATTTATCAATATGCTCATCTTCAAAGGTGTTTTGCGTTATATTGAAACGAGATAAAAAATTATCTATGGAAGATATTCGACAATATTAGAAACGTGTCTCATAATCTAAATCGTTATCTCAGATCGGATTCTGTTCTCTCATCACTTGAAATAGAAGTGATCTAAATTTAAAAAAGTTCTCCCGCAGCGTCAGTGTGTTAGTGAAGCAGGTTTTCCTCATCTGGGAATACCAAGAGATGAATTTCATCGACTGCAATCGCTCCTTCGCAGATTCTGCAGCAAGTCCCACTCAATTTTTGATGTTTTTCATCGAATTTGAACGCTTTTCTCAGCAATTATATAAGATTATAATTTGGGACATGAAAATCGAATTCTCCGACCTCTTTTACATGTTCAACGTGAATTTCATCTCTATTGGTCGTTTGGTCTGTCTGTTATTAACCTAACGAAATCAATCAAAATCATCAAAACTTCAAAAGTTTTTTGCTTATTTCTTAGCAACAACAAAACAGATAGGCACCAAACTTCACTCAGACCTTAATGGGGCCACAGTTGATCTTCCATTAAAGTTTTGTGCAATTCTATGCGATAGGAGATCCTACAGAAAAGAGCAATCAAATTTCGATGACTTTCATTAAATACAAAGACTTTTCTCAGCAATTAGAGAAGATATCGATATGGGACTTGAAAATTGAATTCTTTGACATTTTTTACTTGTCCAGTATGAATTATTTCATCTCTATTGGTCGTTTGGTTCTTCTATTATTCAGTTTCGATCCCAAAAATCCGCGAATACATACACACATACACCACGCCCCCCCCCCAATAAAGAAACAAATAAATAAGGATGCACCGCATTGCGAGATGGGTATTTTTGGAATCAGGAGGTCATGAAACGAAAAACTATGCATGTCCCAACCTCTACTGCTTCAACCAGACCAAATCTACAAATAATAGGAGATTTTCCTTTGGAAAACCTGATCAGAAGTTTCATTTTTTTTTTTTTTACCAATCATTCATTTTAATTTAGATCGAAATTGAAGGGAAATTTCCTGTTTTTTTGATCTGACGAAAAACAATATTGATTCGTTTCTTCACCTTGGAAAAAATTATTTCCAGAAGAAATAATTGAAGATTATTTTCTTAGAAGATTCATCGATACTTCTGAAAGAATCTGAGAATTTTACTACATTTACTGATTCGAAATGGACATTATTCTGTTCTCATTGACAAACTCAATATGGAGCTAGAGGGTTGTAAAATGTAATCCATTAAGGGTATGCTCACTTACTGCTTGAACTCGATAACGTAGCAAAATTAATTTATTAATGAATAATTTTTTGCGAATGAAATATATCTTGAGTCAAATCAACAACTCTAATTGATCCGTCTTTGTTAAAATAACAAAAAACAAAAGTATTTCTACAAGATACAAAATTTTTGATGTCTGTTTTTGGGCTGATTTAGCTAAAATCGAAGATATTTTCATTATGTTGTAGATATCGAATAAACTTAGTGGTTGTATCGCAAAGGATTTTAGATTTGTGGTGTAGCTTTGTTTTTACGAGCGGCCAGAGTTGATTATTTTTAAGAAGAAATTTCAGCAATAAGAAATTGATGAATAAAAATTCTGAAGCGATACAGAACCAAGTTGAACATAGATTCACAACTGGTTAAAATATCTTCAATATGGGAGAAAATTTAACCTAAAAAGAAACATCAATAACTCATAATTTTTCGCACAAAAATCGGACAAGTGGAACATACCCAAGAAAAACATTTTCTTTCTCATACTGAATGAACTGTGAGTAGCTACCAAAGAAAATATGAAATACGATGAGCACTTTATTCTACCATCATCATCTGGAGCCCAGGAGAGACGTAGCGATCACTTGAAAAATTTCTAGATCCACTCACGATCCAGATAATACTAACCTGTAGGTCGACGTCCGTAATATGCGGCTCCAGCGATGTTGTCAACTTAACAGCTTCTTCTTGCTTACTCTCGTCTAATAAATACATCATTCGAGCAGCTGCAACAAATCAAATAACGCGTTAGATGAGAATTTATATTTTTCAGACACAAAATCACAAAAAATGTTGACCTCTTTTCGCTGTCTTTTTTTATGCTCAAGCGGCTAAAAATTTGGTAAAAGATGATATTTTTTCAGTTTAGGCAGGAGAAATTTCCCTCTTCTTTCCTGGATCCACCACTGGCTCAATATTGAAAGTTATGTTTGTATTGACAACAGCACCCTTATTCTTGTATTCAACTGTTATCAACACAATCCAAACTTTCAATCATATGGGACTCATTTTCACACTTGAATATCATTTTTCAACCTTTTCTTGCTAACCTTTTAATATTGAAAAATTTATTCGACACATTAAAAATATGCTTTTAGCTCAACACTCCTCAGAGGCTGAATTTTTACCAATTTCTTAAAAACTTGAGGGTGTACTCCCAAAGGATGCCTAATGGATTATTTGAAGCTAGAATTCCAAAATCTAACTTAAGTCGTTTTTCATGAAGCTGTAAAAAAGATGAAATTTGTTAGCATATGTATTTTGACATCAAACAATTCATCGACCAGTTTGAATATCAACAATCTTCCTTCAAAGTACCAGGTAGACATCCTTTGAGAATACCCCCCCCCCCCAAGTTTCGAGTAAATGGTCAAAATCTCAAGCGCTGGGGAGTACTGAGCTAAAACCATATTTCCGAATAAAGTAGGACTGCATCAATTGATTTTTGTAATTTTGAGATTCAATGAGGTGAATACATGATGAAATATTTAATTTCAATTTTTTACTCGAATAATTGTTTCCAACATGAAGCAGTTTTCTCTCATTTTGCCTTTGGCATTATTTGGTAGAATCCACCACTTTATCGGTAGAAAAATGCAATTTTAGTAAAAAAAAATTGCTTGGCCAATTTTTCATTTCAGATCAATTCTAGAAGTATTTTCAACATTCTTTCCAATGAATATGATTTCAAAGCTGGAAAATGAAATGGTCAGAAAATTGATGTAGTTTTTGTCAATCATATATCTCCTACAGGGTTTTTTATACCTCAAAAAAGAAGTTCGTCTCTTCCTCTTTTCTCCACAATATCTTTCCAACAAAGCATACCAGAAGGCTCAATGATGACTCGTTGAAAATAGAATTTCTTTCATTATTCCTCTTTCAAATAGCAGGGTTGGCATTCTACGTGTAGAATAGGTTATTCTACATTCTTACAGTAAAATGCAAGTAGAATGTAGAATGGATGTAGAATAGAGGTGAATTTAAAATTTCCAATTTTGTTGGAATTTGTATAAAATTTTCGGGTGCCATTTATCAGCCCGAGAAAATAAATAAAAATAATGAGAAAAATAGAGAGTTATAACGACATTTAAAAGAAATGCACGAGAAAAGAAATATTTAACGAAAAAAAAAAAGAATGAACAGGAAAGAACAGGAAAGAAAGTGAAATGAACGACATATAATTATTCTAATAAACGACAAATTAAATACAAAACCTCATGAAAAAAATTCAAACTACATAAAAAAAGTCTAGCGACATGCCTTTGCACGAGAAAAAAAAAATCACTAAAAAAATTGAACCGGTGAGAGCAAAAACGACTTAAGTCAACTTTTTGCAATTTTCATTTTATTGGCTAATTCGATTCTTGACACCAAGCCCCACCTCCTATACAAATATTACCCCCAACTGACTCGAATTCATGTGTTAAATTAACACCCATTATCCTCAATTTGCAGAAAAACGACTTAAGTCAATTGAATTTAAGTTGTTTTTTTGCATTTTCCTTCCAAATTCTACATGCACATGGCACCAATGGGATATCAGGAGTGTATCTGGTATTTATATGTTTAGGGGGTTATAAATAAAGGGATAGGGGGTACCAAAACCACCAGTACATATTTCACCCAGAATTTTGAAATCTCAGAAAAAAAATTATTCAACCTTGAAAAAAATCATTTATTAACACCCAGAAATAATAAATTATGATCAACATTACTTTAGAAATAATTTTTTCCATTTTTTGCCACAATTTTCATTAAAATGCAGAAAAACGACTTAAGTCAACAACTTGTTTCTCTTATAATGGGGGCGGGGGGTATGGTGGAAGAAACTAACCACATAAGGCTGACATATATAGTACAAGTGTTGCCTGTAAACTTGAAGCAAAGCAAAATCTCAACAGGCTGAGCCGCAGGATGTTTTTTTTGTTTCCTGTAAAATTTTAAAAAGTTGACTTAAGTCGTTTTCGCTCTCACCGGTTCAATTATGAAATTCAGTTGATTCGATTTTTGTCGGTACATAAAATTACTTTTCCAATGACACCAGAACCAGCCTCCTAGCTCAAAAATTGGCCAAGATATGAGCCTTTAAAGTTCACAACTTGAAGGCATCTTGAATACACGATTCACAAAGGAGAATCTTTTCCTATGTATTGAGTTCAAAATTTCAAAAAATAATTTAGTTGTGAAAAATGGAGTGATTCATTTTAACTACTGTGGATTGAACGTTTTTATTTCGACTTATAAACATTTTGGTGCAAAAGAATGAACTTTTTGCATAACGGCATTTTTAAAAGAAAGTTTGTACTTGAAAGCTCAAAGGCCTTTATGTAAAAACTTAAAATCCTGTTCAATTTGTTGGAAATTGTAGTGTTATTGGCTGCATTTTCTGTGCAAAGTTATTAAATTTATTAATATAAATGAACACAGTCTCGTTCTGCTTTATTGGTTTGTCGTGCTGCTTCATTGATATGTAGTGCACATGGTATAACGTGAGCAGGGTTTTTTTCTCGCTGCCCCACTTTTTTTTCTCGTGCATTTGCATGTCGTGCTGATCATTTATTTTCTCGTGCCATTTAATATTCCCCAAAATTTTCAATTCAATTCAAAATGCTGGTACATAAAACGAATTTTAAATTTTAACGAACTACAATTTGGTCTACTCATTGACAATAATGACCTAGAGGAGCTGTATCAAAGCAGAAGCCAATGGTATAAAATTAAAAGCTCTTGTTTGGTGATTGATTTTATGCCATTTTACATCATTCTACACACATTTTACATTCTACATGTAGAATAGCTTGTCGAATGAAGAATTTATTCTACCTGCCAACCCTGTTCAGTAGTGCGCATACCTCAAAATTCTCCCTACCGACAAAGTGGTTGGTTTTACTAAATAATGCCATTTTCAAAACCACAGTTAGCTAATTGTTGCTTTGAGCCTCAAATTCCATCATCTAATGATAGTTGAATGTAAAACAGCATTAAAAAGGCACATATCGGAGCACTTTTTATGACCATCGAGCTTACCCTCGAATAACGCTGGTAAACTATTAGAATTCTCGGCCAGGAACTCTTTATTGATTTGGTCGGCTGATCGACCGCGTAATATCGGTTCCATTTCCTGCTCGATGACCGTCAGCACCGGCGACTCGGTCGCAGGTTCCGTTTGCTTTTTCAGCGTGACTAGTTTTACAGCGAATCTAACGATACACGAATGCAGCTCGACATTCTTCGGGTCTATCCGAAAAGCTCGCTTTATTGATTGTAACATTAACAACGGTTTATCTGCGAACAAAGCAATCAAATTATTATTCCAGCGCATAACTGCTCAATCCACCGACTTCGAACACATAATTTTTAAAATTTCAGCACATAACATACTCAGTATACTACTGATGTCCGCTTCTCGGCTATTTCAGTACTTTTTTTCAATTTGAGAGCTTTGGTTTGATTTTTTAAAGCGAGGTATTACAAAAATCACATTATTCATTTTATCTTACAATCCATTTCAGCAACAAAAATAATGTAGACTTATTGCTTCTTCTACTGATAATGGCAGTAAAGAAAGATAGATTTTGGTTGATTTTCAGCATTAAACATAAATTTCAACCCCCCCCCCTCCCCATTAAATTAATGTGGAGCAGTCAAAATGATTTTTTTATACCCTTGGACCCGGTCACCTTCTAGAAGTACACATATTGCCTTTTTCTTAATAGACATACTTCAGAAAAGTGGAA